ATTTTTGTTTTCTTTATGTTGAGATGTAATCCATACTGCAGACTGTATTCTTCAACCTTCATCAGTAGGTGCCTTAAGTCATCCTCACTTTCAGCAAGCAGAGTTGTATCGTCTGCATATCTCAGGTTGTTAATGATTCTTCCTCCAATCCTGATGCCACATTTTTCTTCATATAGTCCAGCTTCTCGGATTATTATGATATTATCAGAAATTCAAGAAACCCAATAATGTGGGTTGTGGAGAAGGAGAAGCAGATCCAGAAGCATAAAGGAACTTGAGAAAGCCCTTGGTAGACTGTGGATACAGGTGTTTAAGGGACTTCATCATGTTTGAAGATAGCTTCTTGTGGTAGGCTGCACCAAAAAGATACTCATGTACATTTTTATAACATTGATTACATTTGGGGTGGGGACTAAGATTGGACAGGGACTAGAACCGAGATGGAGTGATTAGGGAACATTTGCTTCCATGTACTGTTTCCATTTTCATGGGACAATGAATACATATAGCAAATGTATAAATTTATAAAGCAACCAACAGCAATGTCCTATTCTCTCTAGGTCTGTCAGTCAGCCCTCATGATCAACTATTGTGGGTTTGACGTAATTTCACTTCCATTCTGTTTATCACTTTGATATCAAATTGTGGGCCATAGTTGAAAAACCCCTTTTAGTCTTCTGATTTTTTTCTCAGAATTTTTTGATAAGTGTGTGTGTGTGTGTGTATGTATATATATTCTTTATTTAATTTTATTTTTATTAAAAATATGCCTCATATTCTTTTAAGATTCCTTTATTCAATTAAGAATAGTTGAATCAATCTAGACTTACCAGACTTTCCATAAGTTTAGAAATAATATTTTCAGGGGGAAAAAAAAAGGCTTACTTTTAGGTTAGCAGCTGAGTGCCTAACTGTGAGCCACCAGGGCTCCTTAAGTAAAATGAGGAATTGCACAGTTATCAAGAGTTTCAAGCCCTTGGTGTTTCTGAGTGCTTCCTCAGTAGGGAGCCTACTGCTGCCCTTACCTGCATACTTGAGCAGCACGCTGTTCTGTGCTTTACTTAAAATTGAGATTATCTGTAAAATTTCATTCCAACCAAGGGTTTCGAACCTGAACGAAAAAGCTCAAAGTGGGCTAGAGCTGTAAGGACCTTTCCTAGTCCTAATTCTTAGGGTTCTGTAAATGGAGCCCTGGTGGCACAGGTTAAAGCGTTCTGCTGCTAGTCAAAAGGTCAGTGGTTTGAACCCACCAGCTACTCCACAGGAGAAAGATGTGGCTGTCTGCTTCTGCTTCCAAGATTTACAGCCTTGGAAACTCTGTGGGGCAGTTCTACTCTGTCCTGGAGGGTTGCCATGAGTCAGAGTCCATTTGAGGCAGTGGGTTTCATTTTGTGGTTCTATAATTCTGCAAGAGGAAAACAACAACTGGGGTCTGTGGGTGATGGATGCAGCTGAACACAGAGCCCTGAGGTGGTGCTTCCATGGAATGCAGTTTATGGATTTAGTCTTCTGTGACTCTAAATATCTTCCTTTTTCTTTCTTTGCCTCCCTCCCAGGAACTCACTCTCTGAGATATTTTCGCCTGGGTGTTTCAGATCCTGGCCATGGGATCCCTGAATTCATTTCAGTTGGCTATGTGGACTCTCACCCTATAACCACATATGACAGTGTCACTCGGCAGAAGGAGCCCCGGGCCCCATGGATGGCAGAGAACCTTGCATCTGACCACTGGGAGAGGTACACCCAGCTGCTGAGGGGCTGGCAGCAGACGTTCCAGGTGGAACTGAAGTACCTGCAGAGGCACTACAATCACTCAGGTAGTGAAAGCAGCAGAGATGAGTGCTTTTCCTTATGAGCGCCCTAACCCCCACCCCACAGGGAGGGCCCGGACTGACGGTGAATGTGAGCGGTAGTCACTGAGTTACACTCTCTGTGGCTTTGGGCAAAGCCTGGAACATTTGGATGGCTTGAGTTCAGTGCATGCCATCTGCTGAACTGTCTGTCTCTTCTCCAGGAGCCTTTGCCCCCCAGAGTCCGTATCCCATCCCCATTCAGGCTTCCTGTGTTAACCTTCTCAGGGATGTTTCTGGCTCCTGCATAGCTCTCCTTCTCCCATTGCACTCATGCTGTTGTTAGCTGCTGCTCAGTCAATTCCAAAACAGTGACCTTATAGGACAGAGCAGAATTGTCCCCATAGGATTTCTTTAACTGTAATCTTCACAGAAGCAAATCACCATGTCTTTATACTGCTGAGCCACTGGGTGGGTTCGAACCATCAACCTTTTGGCTCTGTACTCATAGTAACCACAGAATATACCAATTTTATCATTAATTGATAACTCCCCAAGGCAGGAATTATCATGTGCCTTTGACATGTGGTAAAGTACCCTGTAAATATCTGTTGAGAGGTGGGGCATATGTAATAGGAACCTCTTGGAGGCTCAACAGTGCCATGGCACACTTGTGAGGTGACATATTCTGGGGCAGAGGAGCCTCCACACCCCTGTCTTACTGCCTTTTTCTCCTCCTTTACTCTGGTGATGTAGTGCCTAAAGCATTGACTGCTAACCAGAAGGCTGGTGGCTCAAATCCACCAGCCACTCCTCAAAAGGAAGACTGGACAATCTACTTCCATAGAGATACCGCCTCAGAAACCCAAGGAGGGGTCACCATGACTTGGATTCAACTCGATGGCAGTGAGTTTGGTTTGGGTTTTGATCCCTGTGTAACCCCTTCCTGGCCTGCATGTGTGTTGCAGGGCTTCACACTTATCAGAGAATGATTGGCTGTGAGCTACTGGAGGATGGCAGCACCACGGGATTTCTCCAATATGCATATGATGGGCAAGATTTCATGATCTTCCATAAAGACACTCTCTCCTGGACTGCTGTAGACAATGTGGCTCAAGTCACCAAGCGGGCATGGGAGACCAATCGGCATGAGTTAAAATATCAAAAGAATTGGCTGGAATCAGAATGTATTGCCTGGTTAAAGAGATTCCTGGAGTATGGGAAAGAGACTCTACAAAGGACAGGTAAAGAGAAGAGAGAGCACCTTTCCCCCCTTCCCCCACACCTTTGGCTTTATACATCACTTTCTCTAAACTAGATTGTATTCACTCTATCCTAAAATCTGTCTCTTTAATTAGACTAACATGATCTATGAAAGATGTGAAAACTTTCCCTAGTTGCTTTTGGTCAGGGTTGTGACAAGATGCAGCAATTCCACTTGTCTTGACAATGGAATATCTCCAAGGACACCTCCTTTTGGGGATATCCAGTGAGGTAGATCCTTCCTTCTCCTGCCAATGATAAATTGGAAAATACTTGGGGAGGTGGAGCAATTCTTACTTAACACGTTACAAATCTGGACTTACAAAGAATACAGAGGCTCTTAGCTTTATTAAAGGATTTATAATAAAATTTCTTTCAATAAAGTGCTCTGTTTATACATTTACCATATGATTCAACTAGGAGCTCTGGTAGCATAGTGCCTAAGGCACTTGACTGCTAACCAGAAGGCTGGCGATTCAAATCCACCAGCCACTCCTTGGAAGGAAAGGTTGGGCAATCCTACTTCTGTAGTGATACTGCCTCGGAAACCCAAGAAGGGGTCGCTATGAGTCGGGGCCGACTCAACGGCAAAATAACAACAACAACAACAAACATATGATTCAACTGGTCAACTTTTAGTTAATACAGAACTTTTCAGGTATGATCTTATTCAAAATGAATTACACCTATATCATAAAATGGGAAACTCTTAGGGCCTTTTCCCAAAGGAATAATCTTCAGTGGTGAGACTTTTCAAAGCTGTGGCAGGCTTGTAGGGGAAGTCACTTACCAACAGTTATGAATATGGAGTATCTGTCTAAGTGTATGGGCTGTGGAGGCAGATGATTAGAGATTGAGGTCTGATTTTCCTACTCACTAGCTGAATAACCATCTTTATCTTAATGGTAACAGAAACCTACTCAAACTAGTTTAAGCAAAAAGAGGGAAGATATTGGAAAAGTAGGAATCTGGGAAGTCTGGGGACCTGAGGAATCTAAACCAAAATTTAAATGGCTATGTCCAGGAGGTGGAGATGTGGCTGTCAACACAAAGCTCTTAGTTTCTCTCTTCCAGCTCTAGTTACAGCAGCATCACCATCATTAACTCAGGAAGACTCTGGCTGCCCTGAGTTGAATCGTGTACCACCACTTGGACCAATTACTGTGACGATCAGAATGAGTTTCCTAGATTGGCCCTGGATAACAGGCAACATCCTGCCAAAAACTAACTGGTATACTCAAAAATGGTTTAACTGAAGAGAATTTAATAAAGGGATTATTTATAGATGTATGTTCAAGGCTTGGGAAACTGAGAAGAGATGGTGAAGGGTCTAGAGACTTGCAACAGCAGGAAGCCATTACACTCTCTAGACCTAAAGGGGTGAGGGGAGAAGTTTTGTCACCAGAGCCCAACAAGAGCCAGTTCCATGGAAGAAGAACATTCTAGCAAGAGTTGTGACTGTGTGGGAGCCTGACCACTGGCAGGATTGTGATGAGGTGGGTGGGGAACTGGTAAATAAAACCCCAACCTCTCTCCCCTCCACCTCTCTGATCTCTTGCTGAGGCTGCTTCTCCTGGTGGCCAAACCCAACTGGAGCCAGGAGGCAAGGCAACCCTGGAGGTGCAATTGGACGAGTACAGGTTTCTGGAACACAAAGGGCCCCAAAGGGTAGAGAATAGATCTTGGGGTGGCAAGTACACACAGTTCAGGTTATATTTGGCTGGGAGTATTAAGATTGCTAACTCAACAGAAGCACAAGTTGGAATGAAACTGGAGTACTTTTCCAGAACATATGGGAGGGGGCGGGTTACTGTTACCAGAAAAAGTGAGACTAATAGATATTGGACCAATGAAGTAATTGTTGTTGTTGTTGTTGTTGTTATGTGCCGTCGAGTCGGACCCGACTCATAGCAACCCCTCCTTGGGTTTCCGAGGCGGTATCACTACGGAAGTAGATTGCCCCATCTTCCTTCTGAGGAGTGGTTGGTGGGTTTGAACCGCCAGCCTTCTGGTTAGCAGTCAAGTGCCTTAGGCACTATGCTACCAGAGCTCCTATGAAGTAATAATCCTGAGTAAATAAGTAGGTGTGCTAATTTCTACCTCACAGAAATTAACATGATACATGTATATGAAAGCACTTAGTATAACTATAAAGCACCTTTTCACATGAAATTTTATAATTTTGTTGCCAGAGAAGGAGCTCCTGACAGCTTGGGGTCTGGTTAAAATCTCTGGCCAACTTGGGGTTGTACCAAACCAAGCCTATTGCCATTGAGTGAATTCTGACTGATAGCAACCCAATAGGATAGACTAGAACTGCCATACAAGGTTTCCAAGGATGTAAATCTTTTTTTTTTTTTTTTTCTTCCATGACCAGTTTTTGTCTGTTTTTTCCACCCAAGTTAGTAAGTGTCTACCTTCTGCTTCTGGTTAGTACTTTCCCTTCCCCATCCACCCTTGGCAACTATCAAAGAATTTTTTTTTTCTTTTCTTTTTGTGGAACCCTTTTCTTGACTTTTTACAATAGTGGTCTCATACAGTAATTGTCCTTTTGTGATTGACTAACTTCACTCAGCATAATGGCCTCTAGTGCTTTGGTTATCTAGTGCTGCTCTAACAGAAATATACCACAAATGTAATGGCTTTAACAAATAGGAGTTTATTCTCTTACAGTTTTGGAGGCTAGAAGTCCAAATTACAATTTAACTACCACAGGCTCTAAGTTCATCCATGTTATTAGATTGTGGTGGTTAAGTTTGTGTGTTAACTTGGCTGGACCTGGTTGAGTGGCTGGGCAGCTGGATGTAGTATTCCCTATGATGAGACTGGTAATCAACTCCGTGGTGGAATCTACTTGAGCAGCTGTGCAGCTGCCTTAGGGATGTGGTCTGCTTCCTGTATATAAGGAGAAGTCTTGAGGAATGGTCTGCAGCTTATGGTATGCTTGAACTCTGCATGTAGTTGTCATTTATTCAGCAGCCTGCCATGCTCTGCCGACTTTGGGACTTACAATGGACTTGAATTAATGGCCTGCCATGTGGGTTGGTAACCTCGGGGCTGTGTCTTTTTATTTGTTGACCTTGGGCTTGTTAGCCTCAGCAGCCAGTAGCTGCTTGAGTGAAGAGATGCCTCTAGCTTCAGTGGGCCAGGAGCAAGAGGCAGAGCTGAAGCCCAAGGTTGAGAGGCTTTCACACAGCCCCTAGAGCCTGGCACTTTGAACTTGGACTTAAAGCCTCCAAACCATGAGAGAATAAACTCCTGTTTGTGAAGGCCATCCCATTTGTGGTATATCCTTGTCAGAGTGGCAATAGGTAACCAGAACAGAATATGGTACCGGGAGTGGGGTCTGTGCAAATACCAGCATGAGACCGATAGTCAACAAGTACCGTAAGGGAAAGTTGAAAAGAACTTTGAAGAAAGAGTTCAAGAGGGCGTGAAATCGTTAAGAGGTAGAGCTGAAGCCCAAGGTCAAGGGGCTTTCACACAGCCCTAGAGCCTGGCACTTTGAACTTGGACTTCTAGCTTCCCGAACTGTAAGAGAATAAACTCCTGTTTGTTAAGGCCATCACATTTGTGGTCTATTCTTGTCAGAGCAGCACTGGGTAACCAGAACAGAGATGTTTCACAGATTCATCACTGTTCTTTAATGATGTGTAGTATTCCACTGTTTGTATGTAGCATCGTTTGTTGATCCATTACTCTGTTGGTGGGCATTTAACTTGTTTCCATCTTCTTGCTATTGTGAACATGATGTACTGTGATGAACATGGGTGTGCATGTATATGTTCATGTCACAGCTCTTATTTCTCTAGGTTATATACATAGTAGTGGGATTTCTGGATCATATGGTATTTCTAGCTTTTTAAGGAAGCGCCAGGCCATTTTCCACAATGGTTGCACCGTTTTACAGTACCATAAGGAGTGTATGAGGGCTCCACCCTCTCCACACATTGGCCAGCATTTGTTGTTTTCTTTTTTCTTGAACTTTGTTATTAGTGCTGGGATGAGATGGTATCTCATTTTGATTTGTATCTCTCTAATGGCTAATGATTACAGGCATTTCTTCATTTGTCTGTTAGTTGCCTAAATGTTTTCAAGGCTGTAAATCTTTACTGAAGCAAGCTGCCACATCTTTCTCCTGTGGATTGGCTAGTGGGTTTGAACCTCTGACCTTGTGGTTAGTAGCCAACTGTGCCACCAGGACTCCTTTGTACAGGACACTTAATAACTGAGATATTTTAGGCTGAGTTTAGACATATGAAGAGGAGTCATATGTCTCTAGTTCCTGATAAGATGTCCAAACTTAGACTGCAAATAAAGGGAACCCCCTAGATGCTTAGCCTGCTGATCTTGGTGAATCCAGCACTGGGGAGAATGCAGGAAAATTGGGACAAAGTTGCTATGAATTGGGTTTTGAGCCTTAAAACTAATACCGTTGATTCTCTCTGGGTGCGAGGAGCTCTTCGGAGAACCAGGGGAACCTGGGCAACTGTGAAGTCTGACTTCAGTGTCTCTGCTTCCCCTTCTAAGCCCCTCTGTCGCCATCAGTCCTAACGGAGTCTCAACCCTTCAGGTCAAAACCTGCTCTCGGAAAAGAACCTGGAATTTCTTACAGGCACCATCAGAAAGCAGAGCCTCTCCCAGAGGCATAGATTTTATTTTTAATGTTGAAATGCAAGACTTTTTCTATTACTAAGTTTCATGCCTCAGGAAAAAAACAAGGAAAGTATTATTGAGATGGATAGTTCTTCCCAGTCTCAGAGGCCGACAGTGATGTGGGACTGAGGGGGTGAGTCTTAGAAATGAAAAGGAAGTCATCCCTCCAGATAGTGCCATTGGGCTCTGTATGGCTGACATTTGGATGTAACCCAAGCAGGAAACATTAAGGATAGCACCATCTGATAAATTAATGGAGTAGTCCAGAGAAAGGAAGGTCATGAATGGACAATCCTTTGTTCTCACTGCTGGAGAACCTCTGTGATATGAATCCCTGTAGCCCCTTCAAAGGCACAAGGGCAACATAATCTATTAAACATGTTTGTGTCCAATGACAGCTACCAAAGCGTCAGCCCAAGTACACAGGCAATTGGAAGCCAAAGCTGGGTTGAGATGACTGTGTTATTGGCACTAAGCACAGACTTGGGAACTAGGAGTGCTGAGTGTTCATCCTCACCCTGTTGCTGAATTAATTGTCAGGCACCATCAGTTACATATATGTGGCTCAGTTTTCCTTTTCTGTGACTCATAAAGGTGTTTCCAAGGTTAACAATAAGTAATCCCAACATACTTTCCAAATACTCAGAGATATAGGCTCCCCCTATCTCCCACCCCCCGCCCCCCACCCCCATGCCTCTTAGAGTACAGAACATAGCTAAACTCTACATTCTTCATTCTCAGACACACAGCCCTAGTAAAAAGTGCACAGTAAAGAGGTTGGTTGTTGAACTTGAGTTCTGGGTCATTCTTAGTTTTAGATGTTCCTGTAGTGAAGAACAGTTACCAAGTTCTTATACTGTATGCTCACTATATAAGATACTTCTATTTAATTTCTTGTTTTTAGAGACACTCTGGTGGTGGTGTGGTTAAAGCTTTAGATTACTAAGTTTGGCAGTTCGAACCCACCAGCCACTCCATAGGAGAAAGATGAGGCAATTTGCTTACATAAAGATTTATAACCCTGGAAACCCTATAGGGCAGTTCTCCTCTGTCTTCCAGGGTTGCTATGAGTCCAAATCAACTTGATTGCAATGGGTTTGGTTTGGTTTTCTTGTTTTTAGAGCCTCCACTGGTCAGAGTAAGTCTCAAGGAAACTTCTCCAGGGATTACAACACTCTCCTGCAGAGCTCATGGTTTTTACCCCCCAGAGATTTCCATGATGTGGATGAAAAATGGGGAAGAAATTATCCAAGAAATTGAGTACGGAGACATTCTTCCAAGTGGAGATGGAACCTATCAGACCTGGATATCAGTTGAGATGGATTCTCAGAGCAGCAAGATGTACTCCTGTCACGTGGAGCACTGTGACCTCCACATGGTTCTCCAGGTTCCTGAAGGTAAGGATGAATATTGTGGCACTCTGTCAGGTGAATGATATTAAGAAAAGTGGGTGAGAAGAAGAACTACTGCTTGCCGAGGAAGGGGAGGACAGATCACTGCATTTACACAGCTGGCTTTAGAATGGATATTTTACATTGCAGGTTCTAATGCTATTTGGTCTCAGGGCTCCTTTATACTCTTCAAAATTACTGAGGATGCCAAGAGCTCTTGAGTATGTGAGATACATACATACATGTGTACATACATGTGTACATATATATATATGTATATATGTATATATAAGCACTAGTGGTGTAGTGCCTTAGGAATTTGACTGCTAACCAGAAGGCTGGTGGTTGAAACCTGCCAGCCACTCCTCAGAAGGAAGATTGGACAATCTACTTCCATAGAGATACCACCTTAGAAACTCAAGGAGGGGTCACCTTGAGTCAGATCCAACTTGACGGCAGTGAGTTTGGTTTTTTGGTAGATATATCTGTGTGTGTATGTGTTGCTATTTATCATATTAGACTTAAAAATGAGAAAGTTTTAAACACAAGAGACAGAAGCATACATTCCATTAGCCATCAAAATGGTGACATTATCATGTCACACAGCCCCTAGAAAACTCCACTGTATATACATGAGCAATTGAAATTATAAAAGGCAAATCATGACTTAGACTTCTTGGATTCTATGGAAGTACCTTAGAGACCCATTGGCATCTTTGGGCCACACTTTGAAACCACTGTTTTAGATTATTACCCTACCCAGGAGCTGTGAGGCCAAGGTAAGAAAAATAGAGTTGGATTTCCTAAGGATCACAGGAATACAAGTCCCTGAAAGTTAACATAGAAGGAGGAGGGAATTGTGGATTTTTCTCCATTTGTGTTCTAGTGACCTAGTGCCATTCTGACAGGAATATACCAAAATGGGATGGCCTTAACAAATAGGAGTCTATTCTCTCACAGTTTGGAGGCTTTAAGTCCAAGTTCAAAGTCCAGGCTCTAGGGGCTGTGTGAAAGCCCCTCAAACTTGGGCTTCAGCTCTGCCTCTTGCTCCCGTCCCACTGAAGCTACAGGCATCTCTTCACTCAGGCAGCTGCTGGCTGCTGAGGCTAACAAGCCCAAGGTTGACAAATAAAGTGGCACAGTCCTAATATTACCAAACCACATGGCAGGCCATTAATTCAAGTTCATTGTAAGTCCCAAGGTTGAGCAGAGCATGGCAGGCTGCTGAACAATGACACGGCTACATACAGGGTCCAAGTGTGCCATAAGCTAGAGACCATTCCCAAAGCTGTTTCTTATAAACAGGAAGCAGACCACATTCCAAAGGCAGCTACTCAGCTGCTTGTGGTAGATCCCACCATGGACATGATTGCCAGTCTCATCTTGGGGAATAACTACTACCACCAGCTGCCCAGCCACTCAACCAGGCCCAGCCAAGTTGACACACAAACATAACCACCATAATTTCCTTGGTTTCAGAATCAGAAACTATCCTTTTGGTGATGAAAGTCATCTCTGGATCCATTGCCCTTGCCGTTGTCCTGGCTGGAATTGGCATCCTAGCCTGGAGAAGGAGACCCCAAGGTGAGAGGCCTGTGGAAGGAGTCTAAGGAACTGAAGATGTCTCTTTGCTATAGCTCCAGAGTTTTCTTCTCTGCACCTGCCACTCTGAGCTTCACTTAGATACGAGTTGGCCTTTTCCTTGAAATTGCAGAAGGGACTGGGACACTTCTTCCACCATATAGGGAGCTCACATCATGGATATTACATGTAAAGAGAGAGGTCTATATTCATAGGTAATGCCTGACCTAGGTGATCATCGAAGTAGTAACAACTCCTGTCCAAGTGAATGTCCTAGAAGTTGGGTCAGGGAATGATCTTGATTTATCTCTTTCTAAACCATATCCTCATTCTGAATTACTGTTGACTTCTGAGGGAATTTTGAACTTTGTTTCAAAACCTCAGTCATTTTTCTACTCCAAATTCATTTTTCAACATATGAAATTTTTAAGAGTGAATACCTTTGGGAAATGTGACTGTAGGTAAGGAAAAGAGGAAAGAGAAATGGGAGATATATAAGCTCATGATATCTTGAGAAAAAATAAATGTATTATATATTTATATACCTATATCTATATATGAGGAGCTCTGGTAGCATAGTGCCTAAGGCACTTGACTGCTAACCAGAAGGCTGGCGGTTCAAACCCACCAGCCACTCCTCGGAAGGAAGGTTGGGCAATCTCTTTCCGTAGTGATACTGCCTCGGAAACCCAAGGAGGGGTCGCTATGAGTTGGGGCCAACTCGACGACACATAACAACAGCAACAACAATCTATATATGGGAGCTCTGGTGGCATAGTGCCTAAGGCATTTGACTACTAACCAGAAGGCTGGTGGTTCAAACCCACCAGCCACTCCTCAGAAGGAAGGTTAGACAATCTACTTCCATAGAGATTCCACCTCGGAAACCCTAGGAGGGGTCACTATGAGTCAGAAAACGATTCAATGGCAGTGAGGTTTTTTTTTGTTGTTGTTGTTTATCTATAAAAACCAAAAAAAGTAGATTGGGCAATCTACTTTGTAGAGATACTGCCTCAGAAATCATAGGAGGAGGGGTCGCTATGAGTTGGATCTGACTTGACAGCAGTGAGTTTGGTGTTTGGTTTGTTTATATATATCTACGTACTATGTATAAGATCCTATGAGTCGGAATCAATTCAGCAGTAATGGGATATTCCAGGCACTGTACTGGATACTGGGATATAGCAATGAAAAAGACAAGATCCCCGCTGTCAGAGTTTCCCATCTAATCTCGTAAGGTCATTACCCAAATTGATGACAGCATAATATTGATAAGACCTGCATCGTGAGCTTTAGTCCACTGTGGACTAGAGGCTTGGCTTTGTTTCATAGCCACAGACTCCAACCTCCATTCAGGGAAAAATGTACCAAAGCATGTTATTAGCACAAAGTAAAACTAACCTCATTACTAGAAAAGCACCTCAGAGACTTGGTGGGTGGTTAATGTTTTCTTTGTAAAGTTCACCACTAATCCCAATCCAATAAATAATATCTGATGAAGAAAAAAAATTCTTATTTTTCACGATGCTACACTTTTCTCAAAGGAGCGCTGGTGGTGTAGTGGTTAACGCATTCAGCTGCTAACCAAAAGGTTGGCAGTTCAAACCCACCAGCCACTCCATGGGAGAAAGATGAGGAAATCTGCTTCTGTAAAGATTTATAGCCTTAGAAATCCTATGGGTCAGTTTTACTCTGTCCAATAGGGTCACTGTGAGTCAGAATTGAGTTGGTGGCAGTGGTTTTGGTTTCATTTTTGGTACACTTCTCTCAATAGCAATACAGACTGTGAGTTCCTGTGTTTTAGCTTGTGGAGTTTGAATTTCAGTTAAAATTTGTCACGAACTAAGAGAATCTTGGCAAAGCAGGCTAAAAATGCCAATACCTGCTTCTCAGATTTTGCTCAACTATTGCATACTTTATTTTTGATCTACAAGGAAACTTGTACCAAAATATCTGACTAAAACTTCATTTCCTTTCAGAGCAAGATGGAATCATCTACAATCCAACTCCAAATCAATGATTGCAGATACCTCTTTTCCAGGTTTCTTTCCTCTAGGAACCATGGTCTCCTTCATCCCTCATGAATGCAAGTCCAGTGCTTGAAGATTTGACCATGCCTACAATAGGCATAGGTAGTATAGGATTGAAGATTTGTGGCAAAAAGCTAAGAGCCACACAATTTTCTTTCTTTTTTGGCTCAAAAAAGAACTGTCAGCTTTCAGCCTCTTTTGACGGGCTCTTTGGTGGTTATGTTTGTGTGCCAACTTGACTGGGCCTGGTTGAATGGCTGCGCAGCTGAATGTAGTATTCCCTGTAATGAGACTGGTAAATCAACTCCATGATGGAAGCTACTGGGAGCAGCTGAGGAGCTGCCTTAGGGAAGTGGTCTGCGTCCTGTATATAAGAAACAGCTTTGAGAATAGTCTCTAGCTTATGGCACACTTGAACCCTGCACGTAGCTATGTTGCTGCTCAACAGTCTGCCATGCTCTGCCAACCTTGGGACTTTCAATGGACTTAAATGAATGGCCTGCTATGTGGTTTGGTAACATCAGGACTGTGCCATTTTATTTGTCCACCTTGGGCTTATTAGCCTTAGCAGCCAGTAGCTAGCTGCATGAGTGAAGAGATGACTCTAGCATCAGTGGGCTGGGCGCAAGATGCAGAGCTGAAGCCCAAGGTTGAGAGGCTTTCACATAGCCCCTAGAGCCTGGCACTTTGAACTCGGACTTAAAGCCTCCAAACTGTAAGAATAAACTCCTGTTTGTTAAAGTCATCCCATTTGTAGTATATTCTTGTCAGAGCAGCACTAGGTTACCAGAACAGGCTCCTTTGCTGCGTTTAAATTTCAGTATCACTTGTCTCTTGACACAATAGTCCCTGGATGGTGTAAACGGTTTACATGCTTACCTGCTAACCAAAAAATTGGAGGTTTGAATCTATCTTGAGGTGATTAGAAGAAAGGCCTTGCCATCTACTTTCAAAAACTCAGCCTTGAAAACTTACGGAGCAGTCCTACTCTGACACACATGGGATCACTATGAGTCTGAATTGACTTGACAGCAACTGGTTTGGTGTTTAGTTTGGTTTTCGGTTTGGTTTTTATGATAAAACACTTCCCTACATCCTATTTGTCGATGATGGTTTATAACTAAATTAGAGAATCTCAGAGCTGGAAGGAACCTTCCTTTCAAGGACAGGAAATGTCTGCTACAGTGCCTGTAACTTGAGCATCCAGCCTCCACCTGAATACCATGAGTGGTGGGCAGTTCACGACATCATCCAATTGCCTTTCCTCTTCATCTTCTCTCATGAGAGTATTTATTACACAAGAACTTTAAATATGGTGGCCACCGTGACTTTAAATATGGTGGCCACTGTGACTATGACCCAATGGGCAGGGTTAAACCACTTAATGAGAGCAGCCAGCAAGTTTTTTTTTTTTTTTTTTTTTTTAATAGTGCTTAAGTCTATGCTGGCTTT